CCGAAAGGACAAACTCTGTTCCTAAGTGTGGACGAAAACAGCATGGTCAAACTGGATGAACTGAAGCGCATATTTTGGAATGGGCAGAGTTTGCTTCACAGATTATGTTGCCAAGCAGCCACCAGCCCGGAAGGATGCGAAAAAATTCACATCTCAAAAATCTGGGAAGAGGAAGGCTGAGGAATCATCAGTGTCACTCGGGAAAGGAGGTAAGGCACAGGTAAGGGGCAAACGGACACACTTTACTCCTGTCTCGAAAGGGAAGGGAGAAAGTGTGTTACGTAAGGGAAAGGGACCCAGGAAACCGCCACCCTCAATAACGGCCACAGCTGAGGGGAACCTCTCCACAGATCCAAAAGGAAATGTGGAGAGCGAAACCAAGGCACGGTCGCCACCTGGGGACGGCGGTGGGACACCACCCACAGGGGGGGCTGTGTGACACAGGGACTGTTTCAGACACCTGTATCACACCCAGTACAGCGTGCTTTCTTAAGCGTCAACATCAGTTTTTCTGAATGGCTGACAATAGAATTCAATTCACGCAAATAAACCTGCATCACAGTAAAGGGGCCAGTAGTGTATTACTAAGGACCCTAACTGAGAGGCATACAACACCCTTACAAATAGCACTTATTCAGGAACCATGGATAAATGGGGACCAGATTAAGGGGCTAAATCTAAGGGATTTTAAACTGTTTCATAAACAAGCAGATAAACCAAGAACTTGCATTTTGGTTAATAATAAAGTTAAAGCCAGCCTGATACTTAATCTATCAAGTGCAGACTTGACTATTATTAGAGTAACACTAAATGATGGTAAAAACATCATAGTAGCTTCAGGATACTTACCATATGAGGTCACAGACCCAGGTAGGGACCTAACTATGCTCTTTAATTATTGCAAAAATGAAAAATTAGAACTAATCCTAGGTATGGATGCTAATGCACACCACACTATTTGGGGGAGCAGTAACATCAACCAAAGAGGAGAGGTTATAATGGATCTATTGCTGACTACAGACCTAAGTATACTGAACAGAGGTAGTGAACCTACTTTTGTTATCAGGAACAGGCAGGAAGTCATTGATCTAACAGTTTGTTCAAAAGGGTTACTTCAAAAGATAAAAGGGTGGAAAGTGTCCTCCGAACCTTCTCTTTCTGATCATAGGCACTTACGATTCACTTTGGAAATTAACAAAGTTGAGACGGAGTACTATAGGAACCCGAAAAGAACAAACTGGGACAAATACAGGGCAGATCTCTCTCGTGACCTGATTAACCTACAGTTTAGATTGGGGTCGAGACAGAGTACTGAAAGGGCTGTAAATATGCTACAGGACTCCATTGTCTCAGCTTACAAAGAAAACTGTCCTTTAATAGAAAGGAAAGGTACAGGGCAGGGTGTAGCTTGGTGGAATGCTAACCTGTCTAAATTAAGAAAGAGTTCACGTAAGCTCTTAAATAAAGCAATGAAATCAGGTTTGGAACAACACTGGGAATCCTATAAGGACGCCCAAAGGAACTACAAATCTGCATTGAAAAAGTCCAAAAGAGAAAGCTGGAAGAAGTTCTGTGGGGATATACAACAACTCCCTATAGCAACTAGACTTCTGCGATCACTAAGGAATGGACCAAACAAAACTGTCGAGGCAATACTACTGCCAGACGGAATGTTCACCAATAATGATAATGAAACATTATCACATTTGATGAATACACATTTTCCTGACTCTACAATTAACAACAGAGAACAGGAACATGACGCACAGGACAAACGAGTGACCTGTGCTGATTGGAGACTAACCAGGAAAGTGATAACCCCAAGTGGAATAAGATGGGCAATAAAAGCCTTTGGCAGTTTTAAAGCTGCAGGCTGTGACGAAATTTTCCCTGCACTTCTGCAAGAAGGGTTAGAGATAATCGTCCCCCATCTCTGCAAAATATTTAGGGCATGCCTTGCCTATGGTTATCAACCAGAAAGCTGGCGTAAGGTTAGGGTAGTGTTTATACCCAAACCTAACCGCACTAACTATTATGAAGCAAAATCCTACAGACCAATAAGTCTTACTTCTTTTCTTCTTAAGACTATGGAGAAACTTATTGATAGGTACATCAAGGAGGGGCCTCTTAAGGAGAACCCTTTACATGAAAACCAACATGCGTATCAAACGGGGAAATCTACTGATACAGCTCTACACTGCTTAACTACTAAGATAGGGAAAGCTGTAGAGAATAAAATGTATGCAGTAGGTATATTCCTGGACATCGAAGGGGCTTTTGACAATACTCCCTTCGATGCTATGTGTGAATCTGCACAACAGCGTGGAATAGAACCACTTATTATTAAGTGGATAGAATCCATGCTTAAGGAACGCTCCATTTTGGGACAGCTCAATGAGACCAAAGTAATCAAGAGTGTCAAACAGGGATGCCCACAAGGCGGGGTTCTATCCCCCTTGCTATGGTGTCTAGTATTGGACTCGCTTATTAGAGAGTTAAACAAATATTGTTATACACAAGCCTATGCGGATGACTTGGTTATAGCAGTGGTGGGTAAATTCCCAGACACTATTATTCACCTAACACAACAGAGACTTAACACTATACAGATATGGTGTAGTAAGTACGGTCTATCTGTTAATCCAAATAAAGCAGAGGTTGTTATGTTCACTAGAAAGAGAATAGGACTAGACAACCTGGACACTCTTACTCTGAATGGACAAGAAATTAGCTTAAAATCAGAAGTAAAATACTTAGGTATTATCTTGGATAGTAAGCTAAAATGGAAATCACATGTTGAGTCAAGAATCAAAAAAGCAATGACCACATTGTGGACTTGCAGCAGAGCCTTGGGAAAGACATGGGGTCTTAAACCAAGAGTTATGTATTGGTTGTACACGTCAGTGATTAAACCTATGATATTGTACGGTGCCCTGGTCTGGTGGACCAGAACAGCACTCATTACAGCTAGGAAAGAACTTAGTCGCATACAGAGAATGGCTGCTATTGCCATCACTGCAGCATTAAGAACTACACCAACGGTCGCATTAGAGGCACTAATTGGATTGCCTCTTCTGCATCTAGAGGTAAAGCTCACGCCAAAGCTACAGCACTAAGATTCCACAACTTAGGTATGTAGACTTTGGAGAGTGATACAACAGAACATGGTAAAATACTAAAAGAGATAGACAAGGTCTTTTTAGAATACCCCTTGGACTATATCAAACCGGTTCTTAAGAATAACATTCCCTACAAAGTGGAGATCACTACACGTATAGAATGGAATATTAACCACCTGACTGACAAAGGAGGATTTGTGATATATACAGATGGATCCAAAAAATCAGGAAAGGTAGGTGCTGGAATTTGGGGCTTAAAGCCACGAATAAATGTCAGTATGTCATTGGGCACAACACCCTCTGTTTTCCAAGCAGAGGTGATGGCGATACTGGTAGGGGCTCAGAACCTGCTGGTATACAAAAATAGGAAGATAACTATCTTAAGTGATAGTCAAGCGGCTTTGAAAGCACTCTGTAACGATCAGGTGAATTCAAAGCTGGTCCTCGAATGCAGGGAAACTTTAGAATCACTATCGAGGTTCAACAAAGTTACACTAGCGTGGGTACCAGGACACAACGGTGTCACTGGAAATGAGAATGCTGACTTTCTAGCCAGGAAAGGAGCAGAGAACACCTATGTTGGACCAGAACCAGTGGTAGGGCTCACTGAGCAATCGCTCAAAGCGTTACCCAAGAATTGGTGCAGAGAACAACACAGGAAAATCTGGAAGTACTTGGTAGTACCTAGACAATCTAAAATGTTTATCAAGACCCCTGGTTTATTGCTGGGTGATCTTAATAGCATGACTAGACATCAAATAAGCACCCTGACTGGTCTACTGACAGGACATGGTCACCTGCTTAAGCATCTTAACGCAATGGGGGTATCGGAATCACCATTGTGCAGGAAGTGTGGAGTAGAAGAGGAAGACTCATTTCACATCATGTGCGAATGTGAAGCCTTGTCCACACTAAGATCAAACTACTTGAATAAACCATTTCCTGAAAAAGAGGATATTAAAAACCTAAAACCCAGAGAGATACTTAATTTCGCCAGAAAGACAGGACTCTTTGGTCATCTTTAGAGGTGACTTTATGGTTGGTAATGTATTAACACTTTGGTGATAACACTTAGGTGGGTAAACCGAATCAAGACAATTCGGTATGAGGTGCGCACAATGGACCAACAGGTCTGAGTGCATGGGTATTATGTCCACCTCAATAATAACTAAAACTAAGGTATTTAGTTATATAATATTTGTACTTAAATATATAAAACAAATAGCTGTTTTGCATTAAAATTAATTTTTTGTTACCATCCCTTATACCATAACATTATTTCTTAGAATATATTTTAATAAATATTAACATTAACAATAAAAAAATTTTTATTGGTAGTTTACTGAAAGCAGTTAACATTAACATATAGTATTAATATAAATTATATTAAATATCTACTAGGTATTATGTTAGTATAAAAATTTTAATTAACATAATCTATTATTATTTTAGTGCGGTATATTTTATTCATCGCACACTGGAAAAAATAATTTTTTGTTGTACAATTTTAATATTTAATTTTTAGAAATTTAATATAATTTTCTAGAAAATATTTTTATTAATAGATATTCATTCACTGCACCATTTTATAAACAATAACTCAAAAAATCATAAAACGTATATATTACCAAACTCTATCCTTCATAGTTGGTCTTTCACAGAGCTTGAAAGTACACACATCAGAAAAACCCGATTTTATATATGTATAAAATTTTCGAAAATCAGAGTAACTTCTACATTATGATGAACATATCATTAAGTATACATTAGTCTTGAAAATTACTTTAATATATATTTTTAATTGCAAATGCAAGATCTCTATTTCCTCTTAAAACTAATCATCTATGCTCTCGTTATTAACATGGGTAATTTTAACACATTTTTATTATTAATACACCTCTTAAGTACAGTATGTTTACATCAATACCAATTTGATTAATGTCTTTTACTGGTATATCAATAAATTAACTATAAATAATAATTATTTTTTAAGATATGGTTTAATGTTTACTTAGAATGCTGCATTTCAGTTTAAAAATATAAAAGTAAAAATATAACTAAATAGTTGTCATTATTTATTTTGAATTTAACATTAACAATTTAACAGTTAACATTTTAACAATAAAAATGGAGGTAAGTAATATACATTACATGAATTGTTTAATTTAAATCTAAAAGAATATTAATTTTATTCTAGAATTGGCAATGTGTATCGCTTTTGTCAATAATATCCTGTTTGATTTTAAACGAATGTAAAATTTATTATACATTTATGACTATTAATTTCATTAATTATATGTATTAGTTAGTTCATGTATTTTTTTCGATTATTTTGGATATAATAAAATATATATCTCATATTTGTCTATGATAAAATTGTTCTATTAAAAAAATTCTATAATAATATGTAGTAAATAACTTTTTTAATCCCTTCAGGGTTACAAAAACAAAACTTTAATTTTCTTCAATTTGAAACCATATTTTTAGTTAAAAATATGATTAAAAAAAAAAATTTCAACTTTTTTCTTTTTGACTTGTCTGTGTTATGACTTATTAAAAATTAGCGATTTTTAAACAATTTTTTATTGATAATATACTGATAAGCATACAATAATCATTAATTTTTTTATGCTGTAGCATAAACAATTGTTAGTTAAAAAAAAGTTTTAAAAATGATATTTTTAGTCTCATCTATTTCTTGATTTATTAATTATAATATTTTTTTTTTATTCATCCTATACATGTAATTGGTTTATGTAAACCATTCGTTTATTCTCAAAATAAATACAAAATAGCAAAGAAAAATGTTGACTCTTTTAGCTACACATTCCTTATAATTTAAAGGGGGCTCGACTTTATTTTTTTAAGTGGTAAAACATTCATATTTAATTATCTTATAAAATACAAAATTATATATTTAAGAAAATAACTGGTCAATAACAACTTTTCGACCAGTATTTGGAAGATATTCTAATTTACTTAAGTGGGACGAAAAGTATGACTGGGAAATGACTAATGATAAAAATAACAAACCCACTCTTAAACTCCAGTTATTACTTAAAGTTGTTAATAACTTCTGATACTGGTCCAAAAGTTGTTATCGATCAGTCATTTTCTTAAATAGATAATACTCTATTTTATAAGTTAATTAAATATGTATGCTATCATTAAAAAACATAAGACCGACACCCCTTTAAATTATAAGGAATGACTCTAAAAAGTAATTAATAGCTAATAAATCAAGAAATTTATGTAGATAAAAGAAATAAAATTTTATTGTATACTTGCTATACATACTAATTCTTTTTACAACTTAAAAAAATTATGAGCTTTTTTTCCTCTGGAGATTCTTTTTTTTTCACAATTGTCAACATCATTTAGCCATATTTCCTTGCTATTTTTTTCTGTATAAAGCATCTTAGCATTTCATGATAAGCCGTGATTTATTCATTCTATCAACTTTTCCTAACACTTTTTTGAGGGTACGTTTAATTAAATTCAATTAATCATCTACTTATTCTTGAGTTTCTCATATCTGTAATTTCCGATCTTATTAAATTTTAGTAAAACCCTAAGGTTAGCTTACTACTAAAAAATAATCTGAGTCGTAGACAGCTTCCCTGTATGTTCTTACATCCGTTATCTTAATTGCAAATCTCTCATTTACCAATATACAGTCTATTTGATTTGAGTATTTAACATTAGGTCATATCCACGTCTTTTTATGTATTTTCTTAACATTTCACTCATGACCCTAACTATTTAAGGTCAGGGTACTGTTACAGCAGTGCACTTATTACAGTACATGGAGCAACAAAAGTGCTATTTTTCCTACACCTCATCTCGGTCTCATGGATTCGCCAAGCCTATAACATTAAATGTGCTTCTGAAGGAAATTACATGTATCATAATACATGTAATTACTTTAATCTACCACTAAATAATTATAGATAAATAAATAGTAGTGAGTATTAGTATAATTCTTACTTGTATAGCAATATTTATGTTTCATTTCAATTTTCATTGTAGAAGATGTTTACAATTCGCATAATCAATTTTTGACTTCAACGCGTATTTTAGTTCGAATAAAAAATATTTCAATATATTTAAAAAATATTAGAATACATTTTTATTCCAATCATTTGAAATAAGATAATTCAAGTAAAACTTTATTTCAATAAATCAACATTTTCGTCCTTTATAAGTATAAATTTAAAATAGTTGCAATCAGCAAATTTCAATGCAATAACTTTTTTTGTAAATATATATTGAAATGAGAAGAATATTCTTAAAAGCTTTTTAAAAAAAAGACAAATTGATATCAGCTTCTTTTCTTCAAGATTAAAGATGTAGTTGAAAACAGGTGCGATAAATTGAATGTGAATCATTATGCAATCATTATTTTTTGAATAAAAATGTATATAAAAAAATAAATAATTCATATTTATTTTTAAATGNATGTATATAAAAAAATAAATAATTCATATTTATTTTTAAATGTTTAGCTTCGATGCGAAGCTGAGAAGGTATTAATTTTACTATGATGTGTTTTTTTTTTTGTGTCTGTTACCACTTTTTCTCAGCTCTCACTGAACCGATTTCTTTTAATGATACGTCAAAAAATCACAAATCGTATCTAATCGAAGACATGACCCTCAAAAATTGAAAAACTTTTCCTTGTTCCCCGTAAATGGGAGAAACCTCCAAAAAAATTACAAATTTAAAAATCGCTAATTTTCGAAATTTTTTCAATTTTTTTTACTTAAAACTGCCATAACTTTTTCAAAAATGAACATATCAATATAATTTTTTTTTAAAGATGCTTGATATCTTTACCTACCATTTGGTATATTTTTTTTATGAATTTGACCCTAGATTTACCCAAAGGGGGGGTTTTAATATGACAACTTTTTCACAAAAAATTTACTTATTCAACTTAACTTTTGAAAGTGTTCTGGAAATACTGATACTTTTATATATATCTTAAATTAAAGCATATGTAATATACTTTAATATTAAAAAAAAAAATGTTGGACTTTATTTTGTCTTCACTGTGAAAATGGCTATCGAATGCTATTTTTGTGTGAAAATTCTCGATTTTATTTTTAAAATTTTTAACTTTATAATGCTATAA